TTCCTGGTCCCTCCCTTCTCAGCTTCCGCTATCTGCCACAGGCAGATTCCCTTTTCTGTGGATGATTAATCTGTTTCCTTTTAATCCTGCATTTTTATTATATAAAGTCATAAAAGCCTGTATATAAGGTATTTCATTCCATTTCCCTGATCTGTGACAAAACAACTCTAATGGCAGTATAGTACAGTAGTTTAAAGACCCATTCAGTAGCCAGTGCTCTCCTGAATCCAGATTATACATAAGGCAAGCAGTATTACAACAAAAAATCACTTTCTTTTTAGTCATAGGTTCATAACCACAAATCATCCAGTCAGTCAAAATTCACCCTAAAGGGCTCTTCCCAGAACAGAGGGTCCCCCTCCCATTCTATCAGACAAAGCTCTGTGATATCACATAACCCAGGAGGCACCTCAATTCCTGTCGACCAATCTAAGTCATAACCCAGAACTGTAATCCTGAACCAAGAAGTACAGCAATTCAATTGAAAGGGAAAGCAATGGGGAGTGCCAACAGTTGGAAAAGGGTCCCCAAGTGAAATCACTTGGCAGTGTGGCTAGGGAGTCTTCAAATTCATACTCCAGGGCTCCCCAGTCTAGAAAGCCAATAGGACTTCCTGCCAAATACTCAGACTTACCAGAGAGTCCCAAAGCTGTCCTAGGAATTGCCAGAATATGAAACCAGAAAAGCTGGCATTCATGCTGCTTGTCACTACCAAAATCAATAAATAGAGACAGGGATTGAATCTTCACTGGCACTTCATTCAGATGCCAGCAATCTGAGAAGATGGTGGGTTATGTACCCTAAAATCCATTTTAACATATCATCTCAAGCAGATATTTCTTATAAGGAGAAGAAAAGAGTAGGGAAGGGGTTTGGAATCCAGGGGAAAAGTAGATAAGGAGTTTAGAATTCAGGGAAAAAGATAAATCAGGTAAAAGTGGTATCCCTTCAACTGCTGACCAGTGATTTTTTTAATCTGCATCCTCGTCATGGTTCCTCCCTGAAGCACAATAGCTCAGATATCATCTTGATTGCTTGTGGTCCTCCTGGGGTCAGGCATTCCAGTTCCTGGAGCAATAGCTTTCTATAACCATTAATCACTAAACCTATTAACCATAACTTAAAGCCAATTTTTTTTAACTCTTAGGGAAAAGGACTCATGGACATGCACAACAACGTGGTGATTGCCAGGGGAGGGAGTATAAGAGGACTAAATGGTAATGGGAAAAAAATATAATAAAAATTATATATTTTAAAAATTTGTTTTAACTCTTGAGTTCCCCCATTAGAAATGCAGATTGGCAGTTACTAAATAGTCACAGGGATTTAAAGTATAGCACAGGGAATATAGTCAATAATATTGTAATAACTATGTATGATGCCATGTAGGTACCAGAGTGATCAGGAAATCACTTCATAAATTATATAATTGTCTAACCACTATGCTCTATATCTGAAAATAATATAAAATAATATTAAATGTCATCTATAATCAAAAAATAAAAATAATTGTAATTGAGCAATTAAAGGAAGAAAAACAACAACAATAAGTAAGTAAGCAAATAAATAAATAGTAACTTGAGGGCTCTCTAAAAATCTGGGGGGAATATATATATATATATTAATATACATTTTGATTCTATAAACAATTGAGGGTCTCTGTAAAGACAAACTCAATATAAAATTCAAGATCTCTTCCCAGGGACAGAGAAAAGAGAGTGATCATGAAGGAGTCACCTTGAGTTCCTGGAAAGTAGGTCATGTCAGAGACTGACATTACTTCCTTTATTCACAGGGGAAGGGAAGCCAAGAAGCAAACATTTATGATGCTTTTTCTGTGGTCCAGGTGTACTCACATCTCATAACACCCTAAGAATTAGATTTCTCATTTTACAGATATGAAAACCTGAAACAGGTTTAGTAATGTTAAGAAACCTACCTCAGAGGGATGTTGAAGGTCTGAATTCCAACCTAGCTTTATCAGAGTCACAAAGCAGCTCACAGCCAGAGCAGCAGCAGTAACAGCCACTGATACCCTGGGATGTCATTTAATGTTCATAAGATGATAAGTTTTAGTACTCACACTTTACAAGTGAAGAAAATGTGATGCTAGAAAGGTTGAGTAAGCTAGCCCCAAGTCACAGGTTTGTCTTGTTCCAAAGTCCATGCTCTTAACCATGCCACTTAATGGCCTCCTTCTTCCACGTACCCACCCTCCAAACCCCAGATTTTGGCCTCCTCTCCCAGGGGGAAACTCCATCAGAATCTTTGAAAAGTGGGAAGGGAGAGAGCAGCCATATACAATTCCTGGTAGCAACCATCACTCCAGGCTTGGTCAGTAGATCAGGTTGACTGGTTTATGGGGTGGGGTGCATAAACTCCTGCGCGGTCTGGATTTCAGCAAGGCTTTCAATGTTCTTCAGAGCCTGGATCAAGAAGGAGACATGAGAGATAAAAACTGAAACTGCTTATATATAGTAGGTTGAATTGTGCTCCTCCAAAAGATACTGAAGTCCTCACCCTTGGTACCTGTAAATGTGAACTTATTTAGAAATAGGGTCTTTGCGTATGTAATCTAGTTAGGATAAACTCATGGTGGATTGGGGTGAGCCCTAAACCCAATGATTGGTGCCTTATAAGAGGAAAACTGGACATAGAGACACAAAGAAGACACATACAGAGGAAGACTGCCATGTAAAGATGAAGGCAGAGGTGGAGTCATGCAACCTACAAACCAGTAACGTCAAGGATTGCCAGCAACCAGCAAATGTTATAAAGAGGCAAAGAAGGGTTCTCTGTAGAATCTTTGGGAAAACCATGGCCCTGCTGGCACCTTGTTAGGACCTTTAGCCTCCAGAACTGTGAGAGAATGAACTTCTGTTGTTTTAAGCCATTCAGTTTGTGGTAATGTGTTCTGGTAGCCCTAGGAAACTAAGCAATCTGGTTGCCCCACTGCAGATTGAGCAATCCCAGCATATCATGTGGACTTGGGTAGTGGAACAGAGGGCTTTATCCTTGACCCTAATTTATTTTATTATCTTCTTGGATGAAAATAAAGAGAATGTCTGCCAAGAGGTAGATTACGTAAAACCTGGAGGGGTGGTTAGTATTGAAGACAATCTATACTCACAAACACCTCAGTGAACTTCAATATTGGACCAAACTTTCTAAGTTGAAATTTAACAAGGACAGAGTCCTTTATTTACATTTAAATAATCAATGGCATGAATGCAGAATGGTGAGCCCCTGGCTGAATGACAGCTCTTATAATAAAAGGTGTTGACTGCAGCTGAATATGAGTCAACAATGCACTGTGGTCACTAAAACAGCTACTATACCCTTAAGGTGCTTCACTGACAAGGAGAAATGAAATGAACATCCCATGGGCCTTAGGCTGATCAGGCCATACACCTGGAGCTTCATTCAGCTCTGGGTACCATGTCATAGTATTTCGACATTGCTCAGCATCCATGGAAAGAGAGCAAAAAAAGTGCAGGGTCCAGAAACTCTTATGCAAGGAAAATTAGGGGATCTAAGCTTGTTTCCTCAGAGATGAAAAAATGTGGGAACATGGGACATGTCTTTAAATACCAAATGGCTCTCACAAAACAGAAGGAATGAGCCAATTGTATAATGGTCAGAAGGTTCCTACCCAGTAGCTCCTGCACGAATGAGGGTAAGCAGCAGTCTCAGTCTTCAGACAAGGGCACGCAGCTCTTGGCTTTGAAGCATTTAGCCTCACTTTATCTAATGATAACACCTACATTTCCTTTGTGAGACCACTCAACCCTCCTTGGCCCGTGGTTCCAAGGTGGGCATGTGACTTATGCTTAGCCAATCAGAGTACTATATCCCTTTGGCCGTAGCAATCTGTCCAGGGGTATGCATGTGACCCAAACCAGAGCAATGAGTGTCTATCCCAGGCATTTTGTTGCAGTTACCAGGCAGAGACTCTTTCCTTCCATTAGAATTATGAAGCTGGTAAGATAAAAACCTGGAGGTGCTGGAGGCCAGCTTGCCAAGGTATGAGAGAAGCCTGCTTGAGAATGAAGTCAAAACAGGAAATAGAGCCAAGGAATGCAGAAAGTTCTCTGCTAGTGCCTTGTGAACACCTGGATCCAGCCATGACTGAAGCTTATTTGTAACATGATGCATTTCCATCCCCTTTTCTGCTTTCACCGATTTTGAGTTGAGGTTTTGTCCTTTGCAATCAGGTATCATAATATATACATCCACCTGCAAGTATAGCAAGCTGTCTGATGAAGTTGTGATGTGGAAGGAGTTATAATGATTAACATTTATTGGGTACCTTCTATATGTAAAAATTGTGGTATGTATTATGTGGCATATTTGATAGTGTTATACTTGCAAGTAATTTAACAAGTTAAATAATTCTATAATACTTGCTGTGAGAAAACAACTATCTCTTGCAACACAGACCCTATTTCCAACTTTTTTAGCTGATTCTTTATCTATTGACTTTTCACTGTGGATGATTCGAATTTAGCTCATTTTTTGCTCTCCCTGTCCCCACCACACAGGTCTAGCCAAACAAGCTTCCCATCTCTCCTTCCTCCCACTTTAGTTATGCTGTAATTTTGTTTGGATCAATGTCCACTCTTTCTATTTTGACTTTAAAAACTTTTCACAGCTCTTGTACTATATTACAATTATTTTTTTCCTGCACAACATTTTATTTTTGCTAGAGTTAATAATTGTCTTACTTTTTTCATTTGTTTAGTATTCTGTATATTTGTTACTAAGTCAACCTCACACTCTCCCCCATTTGTGTGTAAATCTCTAGTCAATACGCTAAAAAATTTAGGTGTTTTTTCAATGTTCTCATAGGCTCCAATCTGGACCGGTTACCTCCAGGTTTCTACCACAGCTGTTGTCTTGGAATCTCCCTTCACCATCAGCTAGAGAGTCCCTTTGCTGCTCACTCTGTAAATTCTTGGTTCCTGGATCCTATTTCTTCTTTCTTGATTTACATTCTTCCTTTGGCAGAGCACATCCTCAAGTAACTTCCTGAGAAAATGGGTGCATTGGAGGTACATTTTCAAGATTGTCACTAAAAATGTTTCATACTCCCACTGGCTAAAGGGAGGAGGAGTTCGGGAGCAGAGATGGAGGCCATGGTTGGTATCTGGGTGAATCTGGGGTGAGGTCGGTATGACTAAGGGGGTTTCTAGAATGTCTGGAAAGGGCTTCAGCCTGTCTGAGAGCCAGATAAATAGAGGGAAGGGAGGGAAAAGGAAATGCATATGGGGGGTGATGCTACACAGGCCAGAGCAATTGGCCATGGATGCCTGTTGACTGGCTAGGTAAAGGGAGAGCAGGCAGGTCTTGCTCCTGAGTTATGGGAAATTTGGCAGGGTTAAGTAGCAACCTCTGGAGCTTAAGAACAAAGATTAAAGTAGAGATATCAGCCACCACTTTGGGTCCCTGATTTGATCCCGAGAGGTTCATTTGAACCAGGAGGTTCATTTTTAAGTCCTGTTAATTGTTCTTTCACACCTGTTAGATGTCTTCCCATCTGTGTCTTGCAGCCAAGGCTCAGCTCCAGACCCAGGACTTAGAACTCTAGAGGGGCTTCTCAAACTCTCCCTCATATCAACCCAGCAGCTTCCAGAGCTAGGCCCCCCTTTGTCCAACTGAAGTTCATGGAAGACTTTAAGGGCTTGAACTGACTGCCTGTCGCTGATCTACCAGCCTCATCATGCTCTCTTTCTTTACGTGACTGTGGGCAAATGAGTCACTTCTCAGTCTTCTGTCTATAAAATGAGGAGGTTGGATCAGCTGCTTTTCATAGTCCATACCAGTGTCGTCTTGCTGAGATTCCATCTCCCACACACTTTGCTGGGTTCTGTGGCCTCCAGGCTGTTTCTGCAACATACATTCCAGCCACCCTGATGGCTGTCTGCATTCCCTCCTTCCCTCTGCTCAAGCCTGCCCCAGGGTTCAGTAGAGGCTGCAGTGAGCTCAGCCCCTTACCTTAATTCCATAAATCTTTTTTAAGGTTTGGTCTTGTTCCTAGAAAAGCACTTAAGTCTTAGGTACAGGGTATCTTAACCTGGGATCTGCCCAGCATACCATGAGCCAAGTAGAGTCTTCTGGGAGTCATATAGTCCGTCCCTCTGCACTAGGCTAGACTTTATTCATCAGAGATAATCTTTAAACAGGCACAAAAGAAAACTTGACATCTTTATGTAATATATTCATATTTTGCAGCTCCTCAAAAGTGAAGTTCTTTCTTAGATCTAGCCTGAATCCTCCAGTAAGACTTGAAACAGAGCAGAGCTACATTTCTAAGGGCACCTGGAAAGAAGACTCAGGAGGTATCATGCCTCACTCTGCTTTCCTTCTCCACAGGAAGGTGCCCAAGCCTTTGGGTGGGAAGGAGACCCTTCCTTTCACCTCCTACCCTCTCTGAGTAGGTTCACTTGCCTGGGCTACAGTTGATCTTAGCACCAGGAAGGTCTGAAGATATTATCTAACAGGTCTTGACCAGGCCTTCTGGTTCCGCAAGTACAGCCTTCAAGTTAAAAATTGTTCTAAAAATGCAGTGCAGTTGCCTAAACACACAGTCCTAGCGGAGGAGGCCTGGGGGCAGAGGCCACAGTCAGCAGGAGGGTGTATTTTCCACAGGAACTGTGGGCCTAGTGCTCTGACCCCAAGGGAAACGTCCAACTCAGGGACCAGTGGCACATGCCTGCTCCTCAGAAATAGGTGTTATGACCTCACACCCTTTGAACTGTTTTCTCTACAACCTACTCTGTCTCCCTCTGGCCCCTCCTTCATAACCCTGTCCAGCCCCACTTTGTATGTGCATCAGAGTCTTGACTTTTGTTTTTTAGATGTCTTGTTTCATTTCCATATTTTAGGCACCTCTAACCCTTTCCCTACTTATTTTCTGGCCTCTTCATTCTTTTCCTCTTTTTCCCTCTTGCCTCCACTCCCCTCTACCCACTAAGTAACGGCAATAAGGATTACACTCTCCCCCTTAAACTCTGCCCCTCACCCAACGAAGCCTTTGGGAATGGGTCTGGTGGAAGGAGGTAGCCTCTGGTCGTTCCATTGGGATCTTGAGGAAGTCCATTTGCCTCTCACCCTCTGAGAAAGGGGTGCAATAATATCCACTGTATTCTCTGCCTCACAAAATGGTTGTGAAAATCAATAGAGATGACATTAACTTTTACCTTCTACCTTCTTGAACATGTATAATACAGTTATAATCTTTTTGTCTACTAATTCTATCACATGTGTTGTTTCTGGGTCAGTTTCGGTTGACTGATATTTCTTCTCATTACAGACCATGACTTCCTGCTTTTGCATGCCTGCCAACCTTTTACTGGACACCAGACATTGTGAGTGCGTTTTACCTTTTTGGGTGCCGGATATTTTTTATTCCTATATATGTTCTTGAATTTTGTTGTAGAACACAGTTAAGTTTCTTGGAAACAAGGACTTTTAAATTATTTTCCTTTATTTCATTTGCTACATATTTATTAAGCACCTGTAATTTGCCAGGCATTGTGGTAGGTACTGGGGTATGTAAAGAAGCATGAAAGACACTTTTGGCCCTGGCTGGTGTGGCTCAGTGGATTGAGTGTGGACCTGCAAATCAAAAGGTTGTGGGTTCAATTCCCAGTCAGGGCACATGTGTCGGTGGTGGGCCAGTAAGTCGCTTGGGGGCATGCAAGAAGCAACTGATCGATGTTCCTCTCACACATCAATGTATTTCTCCCTCTCTTCCCCTCTCTCTAAAAATAAATAAATAAATAAAACCTTTTTTAAAAACCCACAAAACAATGAAACACTTATGGAGTGGTCCATAAACCTGCTCATCAGAACTACGTGGAGGACTTAATGAAAGAGAAACTCCCATCCTCAACCCTGACCCACGGGGTTAGGGTCTGTAAAGATGGGGCCCAAGGAGGCAGGGGTGTTGTCTATGTTTTCTTGGCTTCTCAGATGATCCCAACCCCCAGGGTTGGAAACCAGTGTGTTGTTGGTGAGGGAAGGAACTGAGGGTTGGCTGGGAGGAGGAGGAAAAAGTGAGTATAGACTTGGGGAAGACTTGGATGGGCCACAGTGAGGAAGGCAGGGGAAGAAGGGGAGCAAGAGGGCATCTCCCTCTTGCTCCTTGACTAGGTCCGCCCAGGTACATGTTTCCACACTGGCCAGTGACTGATGACTGTGATGGGTTCTTTTAAAAAGTAGTAAAAAGAACCCCAAAGGAAATATAGCAGCTCTAATCAATTCTTCATGATAGAAATGTTTCTCCCCTCGACTATTTTATGGCATATTTTGCTCACTGATCAGCTTTTCCCTATTTGTTTTGTCTTAGAGAATTGCTATAAAAGTAGGCAATTCTCTAAAACAAAAAGTAGGCAATATTTTCCACTTTGTTCTTGGTGTATGTATAAGTAAAAAACAGTTGGTTTGTTTCTTTATATATTAGTGATATTTATGCTGACGTTTATAAAGCAGTTACTAAGTTTTATTGCCTGGAAATTAAATTCATGCCCATTAAGGAATGAGCAGTAAAAAAAAATCTAATGTCTCCAACCTTGATGATTTTCATATGTAAATTAAAAAAAAAAACTTTAAAAGAGTCTTTTAGGAGCCATAATCTCATATTCAGCAAGTCCTTTATTCCACTACAGTATCTTTGTTTTCTTCTGTTAAATTTAAAGTCAAATGAATACTTGTAATTTTTAAAATTTAATCTTTATTGTATTTTTTCCCATTACCATTTAGTCCACTTACACTCCCCACCCCTGAATGCCTGTAATGTTATTTTTTATCCCCTTTTTTAACAGCTTTCACTCTTTATTTAATGGACATAATTTCAGCATTTGTTTTTGAAAATCCCCTGGGACTCTAATAGGGAAATATCACTGTGCTAGAGAAACATCGAAGGGTTGCCTCTCATACACCTTCAACTGAGGACCTGGCCCGCAACCCAGGCATGTGCCCCAACAGGGAATCAAACTGTGACATTTTGGTTCACAGGTCAGCACTCAATCCACTGAGCCATACCAGCGAGGGCTGTAATTTTAAGATATTAACAATGACTTTGTTTTCCACTCAACAATGATTGGAGTAGTCAGGCACTGCTGCTGGTAAAAGCAGTGGACCAAACATACAAAAATCCTGATGGACTTGCATTCCAATTAGAGAAGGATAATAAGCCAAATTAACCAGATGAAATAAGAGCATGATTTGCATAGTAAATAGCAATAAAACGCTAAGGAGAAAAAAACAAAAATCAGGTTGAGAGATATAAAATAAGAGATAAGCAGTCAGGTTTGGAATTTTAGGCAGGAGAGCCTGAAAGATCTCGTGCAAAGATAATGCTTTAAACTTTCCATCACAGATTTCAAAGGTATGCAAAGTTAGAATAATAAAATGAAACATATAGATAAAAAAACTCTGTTTCAAGAAATATTAATATTTTGCCAGTGTAGTTTTACATACATTTCCCCAAACTTTTGTTTGTTTTCTGTCCTAGGTTTTTATTTTATTTTATTATTATTATTTTTTAGACAGAGGCAAAGGGAGGGAGAAAGAGAGGAGGAGAAACATCAATGTGTGGTTTTCTCTTATGCACCCCTCACTGGGGACCTGGCCCTCAACCCAGGCATGTGTCCTGACTGGGAATCAAACTGGTGATGCTTTGGTTCACAGGCTGGTGCTCAATCCACTGAGCCACACCAGTGAGCCATACACTGGAGAGAAATTAGACTGGACAAAATATTAGATTTATAAGTAGCTAATCAAGAGTGATAATGAGCAAAGGACAGGAATTAAAATTTTAAAGGTTTTATTTATTTAGAGAGAAGGGAAGGGAGGGAGAAAGAGAAGGAGAGAAACATCAATGTGTGAGAGACACATCAATCCATCACCTCTTGTACTCTCTCAACGGGGGCCTGGCCCGTGACCCAGACATGTGCCCAGACAGAGAATTGAACTCACGACCTTTTGGTTTGCAGGCCGGCACTCAGTCTACTAAGGCACACCAGCCAGAGTGGAACTAAATTTTGTTCCTGAAGAATTTAAAAAGCAAACACCATGGTGTACCAGATGAAGTTAGCAAGATTCAGCCACATTAGCCACACTGGCGTTCTCTGCAGAGTTGGTGGGAGTGTGCTCATATACTAGTATAAATATAAATCGTTACACTGGGAGAAAGGTAGTGATAAAGAACTAGAAAGCTATAATCAAATATATGTTTATCTTTTCAAAAATATTTTATTTATTTATTTTTAGAGAGGGGAAGGGAGATAGAAAGAGAGGGAGAAAAGCATCAGTGTGCAGTTGCCTCTCAAGCACCCCACAGTGGAGACCCAGCTCGCAACCCAGGCATGTGCCCTGACTGGGAATTGAACTGGCGACCCTTTGATTCACAGTCCAATGCTCAATCCACTGAGCCACAGCAGCCAGGGCATATGTTTGTCTTTAACAGCAAAAAGAAGCAAACTGAATATTCAGCCAGTAAAAAAAAAAAAAAAAGACTGAATAAATGATGTTTCATTAGCTTGGAAGCTGTCATTAAAAATTCTGTGTCTGACCTGACTGGTGTGGCTCAGTTGGCTGGACATTATCCCACACAGTGAAAGATTTGATTGCCAGTTCAATTCCCAGTGGGGGCACGTGCCTTGGTTGTGAGTTCAATCCCTGGTTGGAGCATGTGTGAGAGGCAACCAAGAAAAAAAATATGTCTGAAGACTCCAGGATTATAAAGGAACATTTATAATAAAAATGTTACATGACATGGAAAACATAAAAGAGATCGCTATAACTGAAGTGATATAAAATATGTTTGTATTTGGATGAACAGGAAAAACTAGACAGAAAAAAATAACATTGCCCTGACCAGTATGACTTAGTTGACTGGGTGGCTTTCCTCAAAGCTCAAGGTCACTGGTTCAATTCCAGTCAGGGCACATGCCTGGGTGGCAGTTCCACCCCAGGTCAGGGCATGTAGGGAGAGGCAACCAACTGATATTTCTCTCCCTCCCTTTTTCCCTTCCCCTGTCTAAAAATAAATAAATAAAATATTTTTAAAAGCTTAAAAAATAACATCATTGGGCCAGAATGTCCAGAACATAGATGATTTTTTCTTTAAAATTCCCTTTAATATCTTCTCTTTGATTGTTTTTATAATAATTCTTTTCAAAGAGAAGTCAGGATGCGGGGAAACATTTAAGACGATATGGAAACTATGCCCACATACCGCCTCCTGTCTCGAAGTCTTGCCCGAGACTTCAGCCGCCTGCCTGTCCCTGGCTGCCCTACACCCTGGAGCCAGACAGGTAAATCCCACTTCACTCAGGCACTAGCAAGCCCTGGCACCTCGGGCACAGCAAGGCTGGTTGCTGCCCTTGCCGATCCTGCCACCCTACCAGGTTCTTAAATACTTTATCTCCATTTAATCCTCACGATTCAGTGAGGTAGGTGTGATGATCTCTATTTTCTAGATTTAATGTTCTCATAGAAAGTTGGGTAACTTGTCCAAGGTCGCAGAGTGGGTAAACAACAGAGCCAAATACAAGCTTCTGCTCTTCACCTCTGTGTTGCACTGCTGTGCTGGATTCTCAGGGGAGCTCTGCCACAAGGCTTGTTGCGCAGCAGAGTGAGCGCCCCAACATCTCTGCTCTCCTGGTCATTGTTAGGTAACAAGGTGAGGCATCTGAGAGAGGAACCTACCTCCCTGGATCTGGACTTAGAGCAGTGCAGAGGGTGGCAGGACCATCACCTCCACTCATTCATTCATTCATTCATTCACTCATTCATTCATTCCATGTACATCTACTGAGCCCTCTCTATGAGCCAGGCACTGTACTATCTCTAGAATACACGTAATAAGACATAGTCCCCATCTAACAAAGGGAGGAAGACACATCAACAGAGAAATATAATGAAATACTGTCTCCATTCAAATGTCACCTCCTCAGAGAAGTTGCGCTGGACCATGTTACCTAAAGCATCTCTCCATGTCCATTCACTCTCCCATTACTCTGTGGTTCTCCATACAAGTTGTTACTGTCTGAACTCTGTTAGTACTTATAATTCCCATGAGGAGAAGAACTTTGCTCGTTCACCTCTGTATGTCCCAGGGCTTAGCACAGAGTAAATACTTCATGCATATTTACTGTTTATTGAATTGTCTGAATGAGTGAACGTGTTGCAGGTGCCACATGTAGAGCTGAGCTGAGCTGAGCTGAGCAAGGAAAGAGGGTAATAACTTCAGCGGGAGGAGATGGCAGAGACGTCATCCACAGGTAGTTTGGGAAAGGGAGGGAAATGTACTTCTTTGGCAAGAGTCACGAACATACTTACAACCCTTCAAACCCAGAAGAGTGGGGTAGGAGGAAACAGTCAGTAGTCCATGGTCTTCGCTTTCACCTGTTTTAGAGACTTGCTCTAAAAGATTACATTCTCTTCAAACTAGCAGTTTATTTGCTATAATTTGGACTGAGCAAATAATGACAAGATGAGGGCAAAGATGAGTACGAGGACGTTCATCACAGCATTGTTGATAATGACAAAAGCTGTAAAAAGCCTGTCCAACCGTAAGGGAATGGTTAAATGATCATTGAGTCGTGTGAAGGAATGGTATGTACGCACTAGAAAGCATATGTAGACGTATACATTTATAGACTTGAAAAGGCACTCAAGATGAAGATTTCATAAAAAGCACATTTCCAAATAGTAGTTTGGAACTCTTTTATTAAGTTTGATGTTTTTATTTTGACAATTATCTATGTATGAGACAAAAACATATGGGTTGTGTCTGGTTGGTGGGTCTACAGGTGACCTGCTTATTTTTTTCTTAAAATGTCTGCAATAAATATAAATGACTTGGACAAAAAAATGAAAAGAAAATGAGGTCTAGGCTTTCCTCTGGAGATGAGAGTTAGGCAGTATGACCTGCCAGGTGTGAGCTGAGTAAAGGGGAAAGCACCTGCGCTTCCAAGGAGAGTCCTCAGGGGAGAACCCTCAGCCCCCCTGCCTCCTCAGATGAAAGGGAATCCTCTTGAACATGCAGGTATTGAAACCCAATCAACTAACTGTAATCGGTTTAGTGTTCATTCAATACACTCAAGGCTTAGCCTGCCAGGTGCAGGGATAATGGGATTAGAATGCAAAATTGATTTCTGGACTACAGGGTCTGTTCTAGGTGTGGCAGTGAGGGGTAGAGTTCAACCTCCCCACCCTCCCCCCAACCCAGGCCTCCGAGCAAGTGCCAGCCCTTCTGAGAACTGGGGTGTCTGATCCTCACAGAGACAGGTGGAACAGAGCTTCCTTCCTGGGGAACCCCTCTCCTGTTAATCCTCGTTCAGGGAATTCTTCTTTACACCAAATTAAGTTTTCTGCCACCATAATTATAAACATATTTCTTCTTGTTTTCCTCTGATTATAGAATACTTGAAAGATGTAAAAATTGATGTGCTTGGAATATATGAATTATAAGGAAAAAAATCCTTGATCAACCTTTGCCCTAGAAATATGACCACTAAATATTTTAGTAGATTGTTCTCATACAGACAGGCATAATTGGCATGACCCTGTGTCTCCTGTGGGATCCTGATCTCCCCATGTACCATCAGTCCCTAAGGAAAGCCTTTGTAGCCTCATCCTTTCGGCCTCGCTCCCCAGGCAGCGCTCGGCACACTCTGACGGACCGCTGACTGCATACCCGCCAGTAGAGACATAGGCACCTCTTCCCCTCAGCGTGCCACCTTCCAAATCGTGGAGGAAGACTTCCCCAGCAGCTGTGGCCTAGACTCTCGCGGGGAAGAGCACTTGGAGGGGAAGGGCATCCAGTTGGGATGCAGACCATGAAAGCCCCCATACCCGTGTGTTTCTGTTTATTAAGACAGCACGCTGCACAAAGGGAACACCAGTAACACAGCCACACCCTTCTATTCACATGACAGGCACTGCACCGCTTCCGTTTTCCTGCTCTGTCTCCACCCAAACTTCCCGGGGTCTCCCTCACAGTTTCAACACCATTATCATTTTGCTTGGTTTTGCTGCTGCTAACTAACATAGGAAAAGCTTGAGGTTCTGCCTGGTTTCTTTAACGAAGTTTGACCTGTTGCTGATTCTCTGATGTGGGAGTGATAGGGGAACCCAAGAGTTAAAAATGTTAGCCTTAGTAGGTAGACTTAAGTGATTAATGCCAGTGAAAACCTATTATTCCAGGAACTGGAATGCATGACCTCTAGAAGGCAATTCAACCTTTGGGCCCCAGGAGGTCTCTGAGTGAGGGTATCTGTGCTGTTGATCAATGGATAAATAAATACTAGGAAAATAGCTCCTGAACTGCAACTCTTATCCAATTTACCTTTTTTCCCAAACCCCTTGCCCACCCTTTTTTCTTCTTCTAAAAAGGCCAGCTTGAAATAAGATGTTAAGACTTTTTTCTTAAATATTTCATTTATTTATTTTTAGAGAGAAGGTAAGGGAGGGAGAAAGAGAAGGAGAGAAACATCAATGTGCAAGAGAGACATCAATTAGTTGCCTCTTGCATGCTCCTACCTGGGGACCTGGCCTGCAACCCAGGCATGTGCTCTGACCGGGACTTGAACCAGTGACCTTTTGGTTCACAGGCCCACACTCAATCCACTGAGCCACACCAGCCAGGGTGAGACAGCTTTTGAGAGTATATAACTTGCCATTTTCTCAGATCTCAGGCATCTGAATAAAGCACCCATAAAGATTCAATTCTTACCTTTACTTAATGTATTGGTAGTGACAGGCAGCAAGGATGCAGGCTTTTCTGGTTTTAGGAGGTGGTGGCTCTCACCGCCCAGCTTAGATGCTGGGCTGTTCACATGGCTCCCTCAGCTTGTGAGGCCCTGGAGGGTCTCCGTCTGCGTTCTCTTCATCCACTCTGCTTGAGAGAACTCGGTGTTGCCTGGGCCCACAGCCCGATGCAGGTGCAGCCCGGTCTACACAGGCCCAGCTGTAAGAGGGTGCAGCCAGGGGGCCCACCAAAGAAGGATTTGTAATGGGGTCCAGAACTCAGGGTGTCCAGGAAATATTAAAAATATGGGATATCCTCCCCCCTTGCTTCCCCCCCACCCCCACCCCTGCAAGCAGGTCTGAACTAGGGGATGGGATACATGGAGCAGGGCCATTGAGAGTTGTTTTGCATAGCAAGAGTTCTGCAAATAACCTCAGGCTTGGTCATTTAACATATCTATCGGTTTGAACTGGTTTCATAGGTATGTTACATAGCTGTGGTCTTGCTTTGAGGCAGGGGGATGGGAGTGACTTCCATCCAGGATGTAACTGAGAGGCAACTCTCGCTTGTTACAGCGTTAGCATGAGAGTTTGCAGATGACTGGCTCCAAGCCCTAGGGCCATGCTTACCCAAACTTACTGTGGCAGCCAAGAAAGGCTGGAAAAATATAGGAATGCTGGCAGGTATAAATGACTGTGGGAGGAGTCAGAAATGGGGGTACAGAGGAAGACTGGCGCAGGGATGTAAACCCAGGCTTGGCAGCCTTGCTGGATGATGGTGACCACGTGGGTTTGGGCTGCTCCCTTTTGCCACAGGAGAAGGCTTAGGAAGCAGGAGAGACCTTGCTGGGAAGGAAAGGGGTGAAAGGACTCTTGCTGGTGGGCCTTGAGAAGGTGCCACATGGTTTTGGATCAACTGGAGATCGTGGTGGCGACGCAGCTGGTGGTGCCGGGAACCGAGGGACTATCCGAGCCATGGACTTTTACTTCTTTTCTTGAGATACAGTACCAGGCTGGACAGAGGGAGAAGGAAGAACTGTGTGCATTTGTGGGTATTCTAAAGGACTTTAGTATTTTAATGAAGACATTAAGTCATTACTCTAAGTCTGTATAACTTTTAAAATAAATGATTCCTTTCCTTTTCACCAATCTTTGGCATTGAGAGATGTCTTTCCCTGGTGGCAGGCAAGGCAAACCTAGTAGGAGGTGGGGGGACCCCCAGAGAACAGGGGGGGTCTATTTAGTAATAGTATATCATTCACACCTCCCCCATCCTGGATCTGTTCTGTAACACATACACCCACCCTGCCCTCTGACCTGCAAAAGCAAGGGTGGCTAGAATACAGTGGTCAAAAGCAGGGTGGCCAGGGCTCCCTATGTAGCAAGAAATGGCCAAGAGCTTGAGTCCTTTGTTCTGAGTACTTATATAGTTGATGGGATGGGGTAAGGGAGTTACATACTGATTGATGGGTAAAGGTGGTGCCAGCTTCCCCCAGGAAGATGTGACTACACCAATGTAGGCATGTGTGAGGGTCTGTTAGCCTGAATCCTCATCTTGCTCCAGACTCTATTTGTTCATTTTGAAGCAGGCAGTTAACCAGAGTTGTTTTATGGGCTTTTTCTTTGGGTGCTGTAGAACTCCTTCCCTTCCCCCTCCTAGAACTTGGGATGAGTACACAGTCTCAAGGTTTCCTTTCCCCAGCTAGTGGAGATGATACAGACTTTCAAGGGCTACCCTCTTTCTGCACTATTATAGTTTACTTATCCTGTTTGGCATACCTGGCAGCCTTATTGAACAAGGCTCAAGACTTCTGGGTCAACGTGTAAGCTTTTGCTTTTAGCCTCCCGTATTAAGTTCTTTGTTAGATCGCAATAGTGAGAGCCCTCTTTTTATTTCCCCTTTGGCCACTCATTCCTAGTCTTTCTCCCCTCATGTAATAGGAACCCAAATCTTTGGGGACTTTGGGCTCAGGACTATGGGGTAAACTGGTGAGACATGTCTCCATCCTCCTCCCTGCCTTGGTTTGCTGTCTATCCTACCTAACATCACCTCGGGTGTCTATTTGGCTACTTCTCTTGCTCCCTTCAAGTCTGTTCAAATCTCACCTTCTCAGAGAGGCCCCCTTTGTTGCTATATTTAATACTGCAATCTCATTTCCACTGAGACAGGCCAGTAAGCCAGGACAAGTGGAATAGGGAAACCGAGACAGACAGCTGAACAAATTGGCCAAACAATTTACAACCAAATACATTAGGTCACCTCCCTAGAGATAACATCTAGGCCTCTGTTCTATTTCAGCTCCAGGCCCACAAAAGCAGCAAAACCAAGTGGGCGATGCCAGGACCAGCTGCAATGACTGATGACCCCCTGCACTGCCACTGACCAATCAGTGGAGACCACGACCCTAAAGAGCACACCTGGAGAACTGATGAATATTCTGCTGAGAACTCCCCTAAGATCCCACCACAAGAGAGAGATAAAAGCCTCAAGACAAAGGACCCAGCCTCCTGCTCTCCCTGCGGGGAGCAGCCTTCACCATTTCCTTTCCTCTCTTCTTCCCCCCACTGCTTCCCCCACAGGCACACATGTCCTGTGCTCTGGGGGACCCCACAAGACTTGAAATCAAGAGAGCAGTGGTTAGTGGCAGCTTGTCCTGGGCTAACTTCTGAACCTGTCCCCAAAACCACCTTTTCACTGACTCCCCAGTGAGCTAAAGCAGCCCAGCCGAGGCTCTTCTGTTGCTTCTTCTATGCTAAGTCCTTCCTTGTTTTGCTGTCCCCAGCTTTAGTAAACATATCCTCAGTCACCTGGACTCATGCTGTGAAATCTCTCCTGCACCAAGACAAGAAACCACACACTCCCGGCTGGCCCCTGTCCGGTAATAGCACCAGCCTGTCTGATCTCCCTCACAATGCTTTCCTCTCTTTTTCTAATAGTTCCATCACCTTATAACATACTGCATAATTAACCCATGTAGTGTGTCTATTTTTTACCATCCAGCTCCCACTGCCCAGAATGCAGGCTCCATGAGAGTAGGGGTCTCTGTCTCTTTCTTGTTCATGGATATATTTTGAGCGTCTAGAATGGTACCCTGCACAAAGTAGGTGCACAATAGTTATGAATGAATGATGGATGAACACAGGTATTTGGAATCCAATCTGTGGATAGGAGGAAATTCTTGACGGGGAAGAGTGAGTATACTTTTACTTGGGCCAGAGGCAGAAATGAGGTGGATCATGCCCACCACAGCCCAAACTCCCAGTTTGGTTTGGAATTGCCAGCTCATTCTCTCATTCTATCCAGTCTGGAACGGGGAGGAAGTGTGTCACGGGTGTACACTGTACATCTACCTGTGATGCCAGTCCCTCCTGGAGACTTCTAAGATAAATAGGCAGAGATACCCTTGGCCAGCTTTAGCCCCCTTCCTGAACCCATTAGGTTTCACCTCAGAGAACTTCCCTGACAATCCCAGGAGCTGAGGTGCCATCCAAATGATGGAGGACCCGCAGAATCGCTCTCTCCAGAGATGCTTTGCTCCCTGGCCCAGTTGGGTGTATTTTTATCAGAAAGAAATGGAATGAATTAAATGGTGCCCGGAAGTTCCTGGAGCAGCTGGGATGTGATAGAATGAATATGTATTTTGTGGATTCAGTTTTCACTTCTGCCACTTCCTGAGTGATAGGTTTTGAATCCTCTCTGTGGGAGGCAGAATAATGGCCTCCAAGAGTGCCAACACCCTAGTCCCCAGAGCTGTGAATTTGTTACATTATGTGATGAAGGTAACTTTGCAGATGTGATTAAAGGTTATAGATCTTGAGATGAAATGATTATCCTAGATTATCTTGGGTGGGACCCATGTGATCTGCAGTTCAGAGTCCCCAAGCACCTGGGAGATACATAGTCTCTGTGTATAATGCACTCCCTAATATAATGTGCACCCACATTTTTGGCCCAAACTTTCAGGAAAAAGATCTTTTTAAAAATATATATATTATTGATTATGCCATTAGAGTTGTCCTATTTCCCCCCTTCATTCCCCTCCACCCTGCACACCCCTCCCCCAACACCCCCCCTTTCGTTTATGTCCATGTGTCACAAGTCCTTTAGATTCTATATTTCCCATACTATTCTTGCCCTCCCCCCGGTCTATTTTCTACCTACTGTCTATACTACTTATTCTCTGTACCTTCTCCCCCCTTCTCCTCCTCCCACTCCCCTGCTGCTAACCCTCCATGAGATCTCCATTTCTATGCTTCTGCTCCTGATCTAGCTGTCCTCTTAGTTTGCTTTTGTTTTAGGTGTGGTTCTTAATAATTGTGAGTTTGCTGTCCTTTCACTGTTCGTTTTTTTTATTTTTAAACAATTCTTTTTTTAAAGATTTTATTTATTTATCTTTAGATGGGAAGGAGAGGGGGAGAGAAAGATCAGTGTATGGTTGCCTTTCGTGCATCCCCTGCTGGGAACTGGCCTGCAGCAGGGAACTGGTCTACAACCCAGGAATATGCCCTGACTGGGAATTGAACTGCGATCCTCTGGTTCACAGGCCTGTGCTCAATCCACTGAGCTACGCCAGCCAGGGCACATTTTTTAATCTTCTTTTTCTTAGATAAGTCCCTTTAACATTTCATATAATAAGGGTTTGGTGATGATGAACTCCTTGAATTTGACCTTATCTGAGAAGCACTTTATCTGTCCTTCCATTCTAAATGAAAACTTTGCTGGGTAGAGCAATCTTGGATGTAGGTGTTTGGTTTTCATGACTTGGAATACTTCTTTCCAGCCCCTTCTTGTCAGGAAAAAGATCTTTCATTTTAATTTTTTAATTCAAATTTTTCAATTATTTATATTTAAAACAAAACAGATTATTATATTCCACAGTATTATATTTTGCAGATGGATATCATTATTCCTTTCTAGAGTCACACTTTTAATGCATAAGCATAAATAAAAGAATTAAAAACATTTATATAGATATGGAATTAGTACTACTAATGTATAGTGCACATCCTTATTTTTCCCTTGAAAATTTGGGCAAAAAAGTGTGCACTACATACGGCAAAACACGGTGGATTCCCCTCTCTGCCTGCCCTGTCCTGGTTGAGGCTGGCCAGGGAGGAGACGACTCCTGAGCTGCTCGAACCTGGAGGGGGCAGCTCCCAAGCTGAGCGCACAGAGCAGGAGTGTCCAAGCCCGCTGGCAAGCTTCCTGCTGAGGAGAAAACTGCTCCAAGAGTGAGAACTCCATCCTTCTAAGGAAATCAGAAAGGCAGTGAGTCCTCTTCCCAGCTTCTGTGGGGAGCCAAGGGCACAGTGGTCGAGAGGAAAAGTGGTCAGGGCTCACTGCCTATTCCCACTACCCGCCCCGCCCCGATGGATAGTTCCCTCCCTCTGCGAAGCACACTCTCCCAGGTCTATATGTATAGAGATGCCAAGTTAGAAGGGCATTTGAGGCCATCTAGCCTCATACACTTGGGAAATGGAGGGCCAGAGACAAGGATCCTTCCATTGTATCGGAAATTGTGAAGTCAGTGATGAGGCCTCAGACCTTATCCCTCTCCAAAATTCACACACTACACAGCCCCCAAGCTGAACCAAAAAGTGAGCTGTCGTCCCAAATGCCCGCTCACCCTCACCCCTTACTAGCCCTATTCCCTATATCAGCTTGCAGCTTTTAGATTCCAGATGGGAGCCAGGCCATCCTGTTTATGCTTAGCTAGAGGGGCTGATCACAGTGGTAAGTAACTACATTCTTCTAAGATTAAATAAAAACAGCCACACTTCCAGGTATTCATTCATTTCTTTATTATTTATAGCACACCTACTTCTAAAACATATTTGTGGTGACTCCCAATAAAAGCCGCACGTACAACAGAACTATTCAAAAGTGAATAAATGTCCAGACAGTCAAAAATGTTTCAAGGTTTTTAGACTGTGGGAGTAATTTTGTTTTTTAAGGAAAAATGAGGTATTTGACCACAGATACTTGAGAGGGTCAGGTCTTGAGTGTGGACAGTTGAAGGTGCCTGGTCAGGATGAACAGTTAAAACTGGAGCATCTGATAGAGTTGAGGGGACCAGTGTTAGGAAAGGCCAGCCACCGTCAGTCCAAGAGCAAGTGTACAAGTAAAAGGCCCATTTTCTTCTGCCCTCCTTTCTTCCTTCATGGAGGCTATGGTTCAGTGATGTGATGCTCGGAGCTACAGCCATGACCTTGTGGCCATGAGGCAAGATCTACCTAAGTGCTAAGGATGACAGAAGGGAAATGGCCTATGTTCTTGATGACAGAGTTGGGTTGCTAAACCAACCCTGAAGAGTCCCCTGTCCATTGACTGAGAGAGAAAGAAATGTTTAAGCCACTATTAGACAGGTGTTCTGCGACGACCCTCTGCTGAATGTATTCAAACTGATAAAAATGAAAGTTCATTCTGATCAGTGTGAGATACAGTGGAGCAGAAAGGATGGGTGATTTGTTTTATCCAGGTGGATCCTAAAAAGTTTCCCAGAAAACACCCCTGAGGAGGGTCTTGAAGGATGAGTAGGAGTTTGCTAGGCAGTCAGGGGTAGGAAGGGCATGCCAGGCGGTAGGACAGCACATACAAAGGCATGGAGGAGAGAAGGGGGAGGCGGGTTAAGGGACCACCCACAGGGAGCTGGGCGGTGAGAAGCTGTCTGGAGGAGCATAAGCGGAACACTAGGGACCCGGAACTAGGATGAGAGTGGGCGATAGGGAGCTGGTGAGGGAATTTAAGCCAGGGCTAGAAGGGAAAGCTGGCGGAAGTCAAGCAGGCTCCAAAATATCCAGGTGATGGGACTCCAATGAGGAAGTGTGTGTTGGGGACAAGTGAGGGGGATTCAGGCCACTGAGAGGAAACCAGGATCGTATCAAGACTTTTTCACCAAAGAATTTCTCACCTTTGTTTTAGGCCTTCTCTAGGGATTCCCTCTTTTTTTTTTTTTTTTTGCAGGAGTCCATCACCGTGATGGGAACAGTCCATTGTACAGAAAATCAGCAGCTACTGGGAAAATCCTGACAAAGATTAGGAACCCTCAAAAAGAAAAGGCCACATGCCAGCACTTCAGAGAGTCTGCCAGGCCATTTACAGCACAAACAAGGAAACCTAACCCCGACCAGGCCACCCTGCCACCTGGAGGCAAAGCGGGGCCAGGCCCCAGTTAGCCTGGTCCTGGGTCTAGCACTCAGCCCCACCCGACCCTCAGCTCCTCTCACAGCTACAAATGGCCCCGGGACCAGACATAGAACAAATGGGGTACCCGGACCCAACAGGGTGACGCAGCCCTGCTTCCTCCCAGAGAGAAGACGGATCAACAGTGTTTGAAGTGTATTAATAGACCCCCGTCCCCCATAGTGAGGATGTCAGAGATGAAACTCCTTAAGCCCATACTAATTGCTTTTAACACCCTTTCAGCATTCCTGAGAAACTAAACTTTTATTTTAAAAAAACATACAAGCAAGCTTTGAAGTTGTTTGAAGATAAAAGATACTTTACAAGCCACCCCTAGTGAGGGGAAGGCTTACAGATATTTTGAAAGAATTTTGGAAAGCTCATCACAATTTGGAAGGATTCTGCTACTATACCACAGACATATTCATCATCTTTTAGCTGAGACAGTACGCATCAGCCTCAGAGTCTTTTGAGACCGCTCACTAAATGTGCGGAGCTACCCAGGTGGCCCAGGTTCAAATTCCAGTTTTATCACTCGCCAGCTCTATGCAAGTCATGTGACCTCTCTGTGCTTTGATTTCTTCAACTGTAAAGAGGCAAAACAATAATAGTCACCAATTCACAGAGCTATGGTGAAAATTAAATGAGT